TTCACGTCGATCTCTTTAAGGTATCCTTATCACAAATGTGTGTATTGAAATAATGATCAGCTAGTGTTACTCTGACGTCGATATCGTTTGGTCAGGCTGTAGTACAAGCAGCTCAAATCCCTTCATGCTGCAGCGGTAATATGAATCATGTCCTGCACCACCGAGCCTCCGTAATGTTTCTTAGCCTCCTCTAAGAACTACACATCAGTCTATTATTGAGTCCATGTCCGGTCCGTAGACACTGACAAAGTGCTCTTGCTCTGAGGCCGGGTTGCAGGAAGCCGCGGATCAGCCAGACGGCCTCTTTCTAACGGACCTTTTTTAAGGTTGAATAGGAGTTTTCACCTCCTCTAATGGACCTGCGGCTGAGACAGAAAGGACGCAGCGTGAGGGGAAGTGTAGAGGCCGACTGATTGCTTCGGGTCTGCTGACCGACCGTCTGAATGCGTCTCAATCCGTCTGAATAATCAGCTCTGTTGTACCAATCTTCCGCCTATGAGTGGAGAGTGGATACGTCTCTGTTTGTGTGTCTCGAGTGTGTACCTGTGTGATAAGGGCATCTACTTTGTCCGACAGAATGTCCAACCACCAGAGGTCTGTCGTCCACGTGGAGGTCGTTGCAAAGGACTTTGGCTGAAGCGTCTGCTGCGGTGGGACGGGTATAAAGTCCATTGTCTCAGCGGCACGCCTCTCGTTCTTCCACCGTGTGAGAGGGAAAACGATAGTTCATGTCAATCGTTCCCCCTCTCCCTCCGAAGGATGGAGGCACTGAAGCATTTCCCGGCACTTTTAATGGACTTCTCTTCAATTTTACAGAGCTGATCCACTTTTCATGGCCCTGCTTTTCGCTTCTGAAATGCTTGTTCACTTTACAGAAGCCATTAATGTCCTCTTTAGGCTGAAAGCCAGAAACCGCCGTGTTGGCCATTACACATACGCCTCTGAAACATGAATGTGGCTCTCAGAGAGGTTTGTTTTTGAATGGTTCTTAAGCTAATGTAGTGACGTGCGCTTGTGTGTCTTGGCATCTGAAGGAGCTTTGAGGTTCACAGCACCACCACCACCACCACCATCGCTCCACTGCAGCCCCCCACCCCTGAGCCCTTCTGCGCTCAGAATGTTTGTTGTGGTTTGAGGGGAGGTTTAAGCTGGGAAAGTGAAATAGTTTTGGGATGCCTGGGTGAAATCTGCTTTTGGGTGCACGGGGTGTTCCCAAGGCCACGCAAACACTTCCAATCTGGCTCCAGGCGAACACCACACACAAAGCAAAATATTGACCCTCAATACTCCTTTTCTTTATAAAAAAACAAGTCTATAATGATTTTATCTCAGCTTGGAGAAAGAAAATCTTTACTCGTGGTTAAGATAATTTCACAGAAGATGTCGGCATAAACACTGTGAAAGAAACCTATTGACCAAACATTCTCCCCTCAGGATCTATTATGTAGCTGCTCCGAGGCTTTCAAAAGGATGAAAATATCTTCCTCGGCAGCTGGAGTTGTTATCACAGAATTACAAATGCTCTCAAACTACATTGTCTGTCATTTGTGTTGAAGTTGAGCTCTGAAATTGGCTATTAAATGGGCCATGTTTCCAATGGCAAGAATTCATTTGAATTCTCAACCTTTTCCAAATAAGTGTGTTGACGTTTACTGGAGCAAAGAGTATTTTTTTTGCCCGCTTCACATTCCTCTAAGTACAAACGAGAGGGCTTCTATGTATGTAACAGTGACGACATTGTACCAACAAACACACACACTCCACTCAAACCGTGTACTTGCCAAAGCCCTGACGCATACGAGTCGCGGGTGCGACATGATTAAATTAGGGCTCTGTGGACTGAGCTCTGCAATGTCATCCTGAGAAGGGACATACCACACCTCTGCAGTTAGCCCCATTTCAATGTCAGCATGATCTTTTTCTGTCCTTGAGAATTTACCGTAAAGACAAATGGTATCCCTCCTGTCCATAGGTCTGGGTGCTCAGTGAATAGACATTATTGCAAATGTAGTGTGGTTATAATCAAAACAACAATGAAACCTGAAACCACACTCCCTTATTCTATTATCTGGTATCCATTGCTTTCTCTGTATTTCACAGCTTTGATGGTTTTTTTTTTGTCATTCGTGGCTTTCTTCTCTCCTTTTGTCATTCTTTAACGATGCGTCTGAGTGACGCTAAATCATAGTTTCTACTCTCCTCCTTGGTCTCTCTCCGCTCTGCTGGCTCTTTCTTCCACACCTGCTGGATATGTCTGAGAGACTACTCAAAATGATCTTTCTACTTTGGTGATGAAACTCATTGCTCTCGTCTCCCTCGTTGCTGCTGTGCCTGATGTGATTGATGGAAGTGTTTAAATGAGTATTTCTGTAAGGTTGTCGATCTGAGTGGCTCACAGTGAGCTGGGGGCTTTTTGATAATATGAGAATATGTTTAAGTAAATTATCAATCAAAACCATTAACATTATGTTAGTTTAATTTTCTTTAGAGTTAGTCAAGTAAAATATGAATTGATTATTGATTGACTCTCTTTTTTAAACTTAAAAAGAAAAACTTTATGTTAACGCTCTGGAGCGCAACACTTAAACAGCCCTCAGACGAAAGCTACCTACTATCTATCTGGTGGAGCCGCCGCCGCTGCTTTGCGTGGCAAACAGCCAGTTGAGGTGGTTTGGTCATCTGGTGTAGATGCCACCTGAGAGCCTCCCCGGGGCGGTGTTCCAGGCACGACCAGCTGGGAAGAGGCCTCGGGGAAGACCGAGGACCAGGTGGGGAGATCGTATCTCTGCTCTGGCCAGGGGAACGCCTTGGGACCCCCTGATGTCAGAGCTGTTGGATGTGGCCTTGAAAGTGGAGGTTTGGGGTCCCGTGCTGGAGCTGCTGCCCCCGCGGAACCGACCCAGGATAAGTGGTTGAAGATGAGATAAGACGAGTATGCACGATCAGGCAATTTACTTTACCAGCTGTTGGTCTCCCGCAATTTTGCTTTGCAAATGCATTCCACACATTTCTCTGACCTCAAGGCGGGGAAATGTGTTTTGGTGACTAACACCGAATGTAGATAAAATCTTTTTTTCTTTAGTCTGTCTTTCAACCTACTTTCACATTTTTTTTCTTTCTCCCCTGCTGTCCATTGGAATGCACATCATTTGAGTTCTTAACATCTGCTCCCTCTAACTCTATCTGTCTCTTTTGGCAGCAATAGCCGTATTTTATTTGGGTTCAGCTCTCTCATCCAGTAGCTCATCCTGCATTCCTCTGTTGTGCTCCTATGCCAACTCCTAATCTCATCACCCATTTGGTTCCCTACAATATTACTACGCATGATCCTTGCCATCTTGTCTTCATCCCCATCCATCCCTTCTAACCCTCACTCATCCACCCTTCCCTCTTTTCTTCCTCTAAGCCTAAGCCTGCAGGCGTTTGATATGTGGATCGGGTTAGCCAGCAGGTTAGATTGTCCGATAATGAAGACTTAGCCTCCCCTTCCCATTCTGTCAAGGCTGTCCGTGGCAGCTGCGACACACACGCAGTCACAAAGATTGATCACAGTCAAATGGTAGAGAGAAGTGTAGCTAGAGAAAGAGGTTTTGTGACCTCGGTGCATTGTGAAGGACTGACAGGCAGACAATCGAACTGCTCGGTAATTGGCACGGCTATAACCCAAGCAGACAAAAGTCTTCTTGTTTCACTATGACCTTCAAACTCGCTTTCTGCATGGTAGCCGCAGGATCAAGGTATGTCAACTGTGATTGTCTTTAGACAAGAAACGGTGTCAGAAATATCCATGGTGATTTTTGTTCTGAACATCACCACGGAAGCAGAAAGAACTGACTTGGGCAAATGGAAAATTGGGAAGCGTTCGGGATTTTATTGGAGGCGGCAGCGGAAGTGTGACGGAGCTTTGCAGATGGAAAGCTTCAATGACACTGAAAGGAAATCGGGAGAAAGATGAGTTGTCTTCATGTGAAGAGCGAAACGCAGAGGATGCAGGGTTATCTGGGTTCTTGAAAGTAATTTCCCAGAACAGGATGAGATATAGACGGGGGAGAGAGAAAAAGAGATGGAGGTATGGATCGGAACAATGGCTAAATGGGGACAGTGTGTGAGCACTTGGGACCTCGGGTTCATCTATGGGCCTCTGTCATATGACCTCAATCATTATAATAAGCGGCAGGATAAAAAAAAACATCTCTCTTTCCCGGTCTCAAATGGCTCCTTCTCTTTTCCCAATCCCCTGCATTTTAATAACTGCAGGCTAGTTAGACTTTCTGCAAACCAGGTAGGAAATCTGAGCTATTTAAATGCTGCACATCAGTGGCAAGTCGGCACAAAAATGATCTGACATTTGCACTTGGAACTTTTTGCCTTTTGTGACCTTGGACGGGCTTGTCTTCCCTGTTTGGCCCTGAGCCAGCGGAGGGAGGCATTATTTGCTTGGAAAGGCCGGTGGGGATGTGCATGAAAAGATTTAGATGGTGTCGTTCGTAGAGGAAAATGGGTAGAGGTGAGGATACGGTTTCTCAGGCTCAGCTCTATCGCACACAGCGGGCTGGAAGTGTGAGCTTGTGTGTGTTTTGTCAGCGATGCACCTAAATGGATGAATAAATAGCGCCGTTTGTGCCGTTCCATCAATGGCCACTATGTTAGAAAAAAATCATAATGTATCGATAATGCTTTGATGTATTTTAATGGAAGAATATCGTTTTAAACCTGTTCATTGACCGTAAAAATAAAAAAAGTAAAAGGCAATCGCAGACCTATCGGTCAATTTACAATTAAACCAAGATAACCGCAGAGAAGGCAGAGAATCTGTAGCCAGGAAATGCTTTGCAAACACTTGAAAAAAACATTTCAGTCATCAAAAATTTGAAATAATATACTGCTTGAACAAAACCAGACTCATCAAAGCGGAGGTCCGAATATACTTGGAAACCCATCTGATAGCGTTTTCATCTGCAGCACCAGTAACTCTTCTTCCTGTCCCCCTCGGCTCTCAGGCTGCTGCTGACTTTGCCAAAGCCCACCTGCCCGAGGCGCTCCGCCAGCAGCTACTGACCTACGAACGGGAGAGAGAACGCGACAGAGAAAAAGACAAGGAGAAAGACGAAAAGAAGGAGAGGGGCGGCTTGTCCTATCCGTCCATCCTGCGGCAGCAGATCCTCACTTTGGACAGAGAAATGCTGGACAAGCTTTCTGCCACTTACAACGAAGCAGGTGTGTTTCTGTGTGTCTCTGTGTATGTCAGTTTTTTTTGCTGTACGGCACAGATGCGCCGATCCCCTCCAAACCCTAACACCACGGTTGCCTTAAATGTGTACGATAATTAGGGGACATTTTTGGTTTGTGTGGATTCTCCACTGGTCCATCTATTAGCAGTGACCTGAATGTTTGGATGCAGTTCATCAGCTGGAATGTGTGGCCAAATTAGAGGGCAGAGGCCACACACAGATGAAGTCCAGCCACAGGGGATGCTCATTACCGGGGACACAAAAACAAAAAGTGGCAGTTTAGAGTACAGCAATGTTTTTAAATGTGCCCTATAAAGCTGCACCCAGGCTATTACTTTCTAATCTACTGTTTCACTTGACTATTGTTGAATAGTGACTCTCAGCATCCCCAGGCTGTGCTTATTCAGCTGTTTAAATACAAGCTGATCTTCACAAGGCTTGTAGTAATTATCTGTGTAGAGAGACAGAGAGGGAAGGGTGACGCCCGAGAGTGAGAGTGATGGATGTTAAGCGGTATGAGGAGGGTCAGGAGGAAAGAGGACATTTTGCTGGTAGGAGCTATATAGAGGGAGAAGAGAGGCCCGTGCAAGGGGCAAAAGGGTGGAGAGTGGACGACGGGAACAGTGTGTGAATAGATTATGACAAAGATAAAACAACCATATATAGTCATGAACTTTAATATAAGTCATTAACAGTAAGGTAGTTGCAAAAGATTAAGGAGTAGATGTGCCCTTTCGTCCATATCGGTTAATTTAACATCCATCCTAAAAGGAGGACACTGTTTTATTCTCCGGGAGAAATGTAATCAAAAATACAAGCAATTACATGCACTTACTGTAATGACGTGCTGCAACCTCGGAACAAAAGGAGACCAAGTGAAGAGGATTTGTTTTTTATAGAGTAACCAACGGCGGATGAATAGTTAGCGTTGTCATTCCTGGTTTTAGCTTCAAATGTTTGCATATCACACCTTTTAGATGATAATAACAGCATTATACTTGCTAGGCTTAGTGTTGTCCATTTGGCCAATAATTTGGCTTTGTAACCAGACAACCTGCAGAGAGCTGTTTGGTGGGGGGGGGGGGTCCTTGGTATGAAAGCATCATGAAATACCCTGATTTTTAAAGTGAAAAAATAAAATCCTAAAACCTGGGGGGTGACCATTGATTATTACTAAACAGAAAAGGTCCTGTGCTGCACCATCTGCATCTATTCCCATCGGTGAAAACTGTGCGCATCCCTTTCTCTGTATCTGATTCAACAATCTCATCATTTACGGTGCACGGCTCCCTGCTATCTGTTGCAATCAGGGCCTAAATTAAGCCGGCAGGTGAGCAAGAGAGGGAAAATGGAGTCTCACTCTCCATTCAGATCCTTGTCCCCAGGACAACAGCGTATCGGATTTATCGCCCCGCTCATTCGTCCCTCTTTTGTTTATCAGCCAACAGAAGCGATTGAAAGAAAGATCAGGAGGAAAGGAGCTTAGTCTATTGTGGAAACGGTCTGCGTGATGTGGTGTGGTATTCTGTTAGCAGTCACCTTTAATAGAGCAGTGCGGCGTGTCCCTCGGCACGCGTTTAAACCCCCGCAAGCCAGCAAGAGGGTCCAGTAGTGCGTTAGTCTGATCAGCAGTTCGTGTCACTGGCAGAAATACAGACCCAGAGGTTAAGATTGCAAGGGATTTGGGGGAAGGAAAAGCATGTGTATCATGTGTCCTCTACAAAAGAATACATTTATGTAATGTGGAAAAACACAAAATGTCTTTTTTTTGCACCGCAGGAGTCTAACACACTTAAGTCACTTAATTATGAATGCATGTTTTATGAGAGAGCGGGTCCTCTTCACGCGTACAGCAGACCACACTGCACATACACACATTGCATCATAACACACTTTCCAGCTTCTCATGCAGCTGAAGGATTGATGAAATATAGTGAGGATCTATCATTATTGATGAAATAGGAAGAAACACAGTTATGAGTCTGTGTTGTACAACTGGAATAGAGATAAAGCAAAGTCTACTGCTCGTCGTCTGTGGACGTCATTAGTTAAGACCGCTTGCGGTTGTCTGACTCTCCCGCCGTGGTTTGCTCGCTCACAGTGCTGTGTGTTAAATAATGAGATCCATTTAGGCATTTGGAAAGCTGCTATGTTGAAACGGATAAAGGGGGTTGTAGAAAGCATTGAAAATAGATTCAACTGTATTTGGTTGATTTCAAACAATAATAAAGTGCCGTGACTGTATATTGGGTCCTGCTTTGCACAATAAGTTACGCAATGCTACAGCATTTGACACCACTGAACAAACTGTCACCTACAGATGTTAATGTACAGTATAGACCGATGTTAACTCGGATATCTGGCTTCTGATATACAACAACCAGTGTTTATCGCATGTGACTTTAACATTTATAATGCCTCAGTTTCCTGAACTAGACCTTTCTTTAAAGTGGTTCTTGCTCACTGCATTGCTGCAGTATTATTACATGTTTTGAATTATCTCTCACTAAACTGTCAGTACTCTGGTTGAATTGTGGGTAATTTCACACCAAGTTTTGACAATCTCTGGCTCTGCTGCAACAACTTTGATTGTTTTCCAAAACTGTCCAACAATGTTGCGAGAGTGAACCGCTTTTAACCCGCTTCCTGCTCCCCAGGGTTGCCATGACGTTTGTCCATAATAAGAAGCCTGTTAGATCACATGTTTTGTCCGGATATGACCAGAATGCCATGGAAGTCTATTATGTTTTAAAGAGTAACGCATTTGTATCATAAGCATGGTTGAAAATAACAAGAAACACTCTGGATGAATAGTTGGTTCGAATGTACTCAAGAACCCAAAGCGAAATATCTCACACATGGCCTTAAAACAGCTGAGGCTCGCACACATGCAACTAGTTATTTAGGATAGAAAGGAAAGAATGGAAAAGGAATAACACATCTGTGGTATTTGTTAAAAATGTGTTTTATTTTTGTTCATTGGGAGTTTTGCATGTGGGGACTTTGGGGGGAGGAACCGGGGGAAGGCAATGGGGGTTCGGGGGGGAAGAGAGTTGCAGGGTTTTTAGAAATAAACGGTTACAGTTTTGAACAGTACTTACTCACGTCATGTGTATTAAAGAACACAACATCATCATAGAAAGCAGAGATTGTCAAAACTTGTCACGTGTAGTGACATATAGTATGGAAATTCTGAGTGCTGCACTAACTTTTATACAGCAGTTCAAAAAGCTTTTTTCAGTGCAAAATGTTAAAAATAGCATTTCTATAAATATTTACAGTCGAAACAGGTCAGACAGGATGGCTCTTTGGGGTATAATCTTGTTGGTGGAGCTTTTTAGAAAGGCTTTGGGACAATGAGCCGGGGTGAGCAGGGCAACTTCTCACCTAGATGCTCGACAGCTCCATTAAGGACATAAATCCATATTGTGGCGCATATTTTTTGCTAACTCTGAAAGAGTGAATCAGTGCAATGATACAAGTTAATGTCATTGGCCTGTTAAAGGTGTGTGTGTCCATTCAAGCATGGTAGCATTTTAATGGGGACTGCTGTACGCCTGCTTCGCATGGCTCTGCTAATTGGAGAAGTGTGTGCAGGCACGGCACCTCAGTCCATTATCTGTATTGCCATGGGAACCAGATAGGGATAATTAGCTGGACTGCATGGGACATTGCAATGGCAGCCCTGGGTACGTGCAGCAGGATTAGGGAGGAATTATGTAACGAAAAGAAATGGATTTTTCCACAACTGTGTTAAAGATTTAGTATGTAATTTAAAATTAAGTGGCATTAATATTCACTTCCTTCATCTGAGCCTCGCTACTAGCTGGTGCTCTTTCTCATAGTTATTTTCTGCTTCCTCCCCTTTTCTCCTGATTATCAATTTTCTCACTCAGATTTCTAAATGGGAGTAATCTCTCTTTTCGTTTTCCTCTCTTCTCTCCCCTTCTAGCTCTACACTCCAGCTCAAGTCTTGCACTTTATTTCATCCACACCCCCGTCCCACCCACCCCATATCTCATTTCTCACATGCGACTGCTCAAGGGTTGCACACAGTAACCGTGAACTGAGCGGGAAGACCATTCATGGGAGAAATGGATTTATTTCATTCAGCTTAACACCAACCGCCTAAGACATAAACTGTCCAAAAGTCAACATCACACGGACGTGTGGGAATTTAAAAGAATTGGGGAAGTCTCGAGTAAGTTAGTAGGTCATCCACATTCTTGCAATGGAATTTCAAGCAGCTTTGTGTGGGTCTTACCTTTCACATCCTGGTCTTTTTTTTTTTTATCACACTCTCTCTCTGTCGGTCTGTCCGGGTGCCTGAGACCAGAAAGCCCACCACCCCCCCACCCACACCCCCTGCCCTGCTCCAACCACCTAGTTTGGCCTTTTTCTCTGTGTGAGCAGATGGCCAAACAGGCGGATCGGTTCTCTCGCTATAGGACTTTGGAGCTCACACAATAGGCCTCATATTCTGAGTCCAGACTCTGTTCTGCCCGACTGGGAAGCAAAACAAAGAGAGGAAGGAGGAGAAGAAATGAAAGATTTTCAGAGCGTGGCACTCGGAAAAGAAAGTTACTTCAAAGAGGTTTTTTTGCAATGTTTTCATGTGATTCATGTGTTTCACCGTGAGATGCAGGAGGGAACAAGGCCCACCGCTTTGGTCCAGAAAATCAGAGGATGAATCCCAATGACTTGGTGATCCCCATTCCTCAGGCACTATATTGAGGTTAAATGTATGTTATCAGTGAAATCTCACGTTATTAGATTGCTATTATATTGACTGCCTTGAAATTATCTGCAAAATTGAGGAAATCAGCAGCAATCAGTTTACAGCTAATTACCAAGTTTTATCGTGCTAACATAACGCAGAATGTTAGTGTAGGCGTTATTAGCACGGTCAGGGGTCTAAGCGTCGCCCCACGGTGCTACTGGCCAAGAACATACGTTATTGTCTTGTTATTTTCTATATTAAAGTTTCTATAAACATCTAGTATATAATATCTAATTCTGATCTCATCCACCTCCTGCACATGCTCTCTATCTCCCTTTCTCCATCTTTCAGGTACCACGTGTCTGGTGGCCCTGCTGTCTGATAAGGAGTTGACTGTAGCCAACGTCGGCGACTCACGTGGAGTTCTGTGTGATAAAGACGGCAACGCTATTCCTCTTTCGCATGACCACAAACCTTACCAGCTCAAAGAACGCAAGAGGATCAAGAAAGCTGGTGAGAAATCGGCTACAGTCCAGGCCAGTAGATTGGTTTCACCTGATTCTGAGCAGCAGAACGAGGCTTTGGTTTCAAACTCCAGGGAACATCAAAACTCTGATTGTTTTCATGAAAGCGTAAAAACAAAAAAGTATTCTTATGATCAAAGCTAAGCACCATTATCCCCTTTTCCACATCTTGTGTGTCTGTGCTCCGGCTGACATCAAACCCTAGAGACTGATAACACAATCCCCTTCAAAAGCACCACGTTATCAAATGCAGCCAGACAGTGCACAGCATTAAAGGTGTATTTGAAGTCATAAATCTCCCTCCCACCCTTTCTGCATTCTCCCGCTGCTGGGTTTGATGGTAGCTTGCCAGATTAGTCAGTGACTGTGGTTCCCTGTCAGGAAGGCCCACCATCTCCATCTAAAGGTCTGATTTGGTACTATAGAGACTCACAGGTTTAGTTTGCCTTACGTTGCTGTCTACTTACTTTTGCAACATGCTTGCAATTGTGATACTGCAGCTGATTTCCTACTGTTTTCCCTTCCATGAGCGGTGACGTCCAACGTTTAAATCATTGTGTTTCATGTACAGGACCCGCTGGTATACGAGCTGCTTGTATAGTCGCCGGTCTCTCTGTGACACATTCTTGTTAACAGCGATACTCAAGAACAATTAATAATAGAATCTGTATAACTGCACCACAGGCCCCACGTGTAGAGCGGATCTTATTATAGTAGTTGAGCATCTTGCTATTTTAATTGAGGGAAACAGAATCTTCTTTAAGCTATTGTAACTCCTAAATGCTAGATTAAGTCCAAAAAAGAAGTATCTTGATGCTAGAGCCTGCAAAAAGTAATTACACAAGATTAGAGTCTCACATATTTTAATCAATCGTGTATAGTGTTACTGTGTAATAGGTTTGACTTGAGGAGTGATTTCACTCTGCGATCCTGGTATGGATTTGATGCCGTTGTTGATTTTTGATTAGTTTAATTCCTCGGACATAAGTGGTACACCGTCAATATACTCATGACAAGCTAAATAATGGAATCCATAATTTAACAAATATACAAACATTGTCTACGTGAAGAAAAATAAATACAGTCTCGCAATATTCTGAGGGCAGAAATGTTTACTGACCAGTAGCTGCTAAAGTAACAATTGAGAGTCGCAAATAGGTTGCGTCCCCTTCTGTTTCTGGGAATTTGGGTATTTTAGTTGTCTAATGATGAAAAATGGAAAGTTACACATACTGTTATTTTCATACCTTGAACTCTCAACCTCCGCATGGTTACAGTCAGTGGAAAGCTTCATGTGGCCCGATGGGATATTTGGTTCTTCAGCTCAGTACGAACTAGAGACGCATCCTGACCGAGTATGGAAGTCTTCATCTTATCATTTCCAGTACAATTCCCTGACTGCCAATCTGCCGAAGCCATTGAGGACGCGCAGCTGTACTTACAGGATATGGGATTAACTGAAATGTATCCAACATAAACAATCGTGTTCCATGAGCATGAGCGGTGAGGACTGCGTGAAAACCCGGCAATGGCACTGACCCGTATTCCGATTTGCACTTTGATGTGAGCACTTCAGTCTCATTATTGATCGTAACCACTAGATATTCTGCGAGTTGGTTCTAAGGAACAAAAATTCTCCTTTTGTCTTATGGTTCAGTGTCAGGAAATGGAAAACATTTTTCATCTTGTGTCTCTCCTTTTCCTTTAATCTTTGTTCCTCCGTGCTCCTCACGTCCTTGCGTTCTTTGCCAACGCCTCCCCGCTCGCTCTTGTGAGTCACTTCCTGCTCTTTGTGTTATAACTTTCCAACCATTTCCCTTCTCCGCTCCTTCTCAGGTGGGTTCATCAGCTTCAACGGCTCGTGGCGCGTCCAGGGCATCTTGGCCATGTCCCGTTCTCTGGGCGATTACCCGCTGAAGAACCTCAACGTGGTCATTCCTGACCCTGACATCATGTCGTTTGACCTGAACAAGTTGCAGCCAGAGTTCATGATCCTGGCCTCGGACGGCCTGTGGGACACCTTCAGCAACGAGGAGGCGGTTCGCTTCATCAGGGAACGACTGGGCGAGCCGCATTTTGGCGCTAAGAGCATAGTCCTCCAGTCCTTTTATCGGGGTTGCCCCGACAACATCACCGTAATGGTGGTCAAGTTTAAAGGCAAGGCCAGCGAACAGTAGACCGACTGTCTACCACACACAGTATCTATATATTATGTTTGAATATGAGTAAGAATGAACAGTAACAGCTATCTCTATCACATTTGCATAAGTTAGCCGGCCTTTCGGTGCATCAATCAACCGCTCCTTAACTTCGCCTGCAGAAAAAGTGACACTTGTAAGAAATGGAGTTCCACTTCCATATTATTTCAAAGTTCTATCAGTCCATTTGACCACTAATCTTGTTAGTTGACATTTCCTGACTCAGTTTCCAGATAATTTAATTCCAAATTGAAGTTTACTGATTGACTGCACTGAAAAGGGTAGTTTTTCCTGGATAGGATACACAATGGTACAAATAAGAATTTACTCCCTTTATACTAACAACACAAATGATGATGTGCTTGCTCGAATATCACTATTGATACTGCACAGCAATAGAAGCAATTGCAACGGTCCCACGCTGAGCATTGGATCTATGTATGGATGAAGTGTTATGTCTGCAGTTGTCCAATTTCACAGGTTTAGATCTCAACTGTGAAAGCTTGTTTTTAAGGATTGCTGCAAGTTTCTGTGCGGATAATGTCTTCTGATTTTATTGTTGCTATAGTTAAAGATTTGTTAAAGCTTAGAGACTTGATCGATTCCAAACCTTATCAGAATCCATGTAACTACTGATAATGATTGTTGGAAAACGCAGCGTAGCTTACACGTTTTTTTTAAAGCGCAACCATTTGGTGATAATGTTGTAACTTCTCATTGTGACTTTTAACTGCTAATTATTCAATCACAAAGTTTGTCACATGCCATCTGATAATATCATAACTGTTACTTTAAACAAGTAAGAAGAAGGTAATAATAGTTAATATATATAAATATACATAATTGGCAGTAATTCTTGTAATATTATTTAGGAATTAAGATTATTATGTAAGATTTAGGAACATTTTAATAGGCTTCTTTTTTTACACATTGATTTGCTATTCATTTATGTGACTTTTCTGATATTATCATTGACTACAATCTACACAACATATGTACTGAAAATGAAATCTTACTGTTAATGACATGTCATCTTCATACATATCACATTTCTCTGACCTGTAACTCAAAATGTAACAAAGAATGAAACATTATTTTGCCTTATTTTCTTAACTATTAATTACCTGGAATGAAGACTGCTGCAAAATCTACATCTTGGTTTTTAATGTAATGCAGTCGATCATGCCATGCACACCTTATTAACTCACATGTAGAATAGCATTGTTGAAAGAAATATCTCCAAGAGACATGAAATTGTAAGATGAATGTACATACTGTCCTTGTGTTACTATTCCCCCATCCACTGTTCACACTGCAATGAAGAAAGTGGTGCGCCTGTTTCTGGATTGTTTAACTTCAGAGATATATATCCGATAAATGTTTGTGCTTTTTCAGACCACAGTCTCCCTTGATAGTGTACTTTACAACGTGTCAATGTGGCATTTTTACTTGTTTTTGTTTATTTTAATAAACTGTAAAAAGATGTCAATCAAAAAGTTAACATTAAAATGGCAAATTATCATTTTTACTGTGGGTTTTTTTTTGTTGAGAATTTACATCAAGTTACCCATAACTCCTCTGTGCAGATTAATGCCACAGTTGTATATTATACAAAAAAGACGACATGTTTTTGTGTAAAGTTCTCTATCATTGTTTATTTCTTTTGTTCAACGCTAGAAAATGCAGTGGTTAAGAAAGAAAAAAAACTTGGGCTTAGTTACCCTATGCCCCACTTTACACCATCAGAAGTTCCTATTTACTATTCTATAAGGGCGGAGTTGTTTATTGTTGATTATCTGATTAATCCGAGGTGTATCATATCATACATTAGTCATTAAATCCCACATAAATAAAACCAAATAGCTTCCAAAACTAGTGATATATATACCCATAAATGTTACTGTTACTGTAACAAATCAAAGCACACATGTTTCAGAAGTAAAATAAATAGAAAGTATTGCATTGATTATTATTTTAACAATTGTGAGAATGTATTGCTTAGATCATTTGTCCAGGCTTACTGTAGTACAATCTTGTGCACATCATTTATCCTAATGTCCCTGTGATGTCACTGCTACAGGACATCTAGCCAGGAAGAAACAACAATCTTCCTGATGTACTAACATGGACTTCCTGGCTGCTGGTGTGAATGACGATCTGCAGCAGGTGTGATGTGACTCCTCCGACTGTGCTGCGGTAACCAGAGAACTATATGCAGTTGGTTGCACGGTCGCTTTGGATATTAATAGCTTTACTGAAAGCTACGCAGACACAAAAGGGGGAGGGACCCCTCTGCTGGTCCGTACATAAAGCATCCTGATTGTAGGCCGTCTCCATAAGAGAGCAGACACACTAAGCCTACAGATAGTCAGTACAAAAGGAGCCACTGGGTGCATGCAGCTGAGTTTACACAGCTAAACAAAAAGACGAAGCCTGCATTTTTTAATATAGACACAAGCTACTATTTTAGAACATGGGCATGCATGGAACCAAGCCTAAGAAACAAGCACAGGTCTTGATGCTGGGCCTGGACGGAGCAGGAAAGACCACTCTGCTCTATAAGTTAAAGTACAACGAGACCGTGGTGACGGTTCCAACCGTGGGCTTCAACGTGGACACACTGGAGACCGACAGGAGCAGCCCGGGCTTGACGGTGTGGGACGTGGGGGGCCAGAAGAAGATGAGGCCCCACTGGAGGCATCACTATGCTGACACAGCCGGACTGGTGTTTGTGGTGGACAGCTGTGATCAGAAACGACTGGATGAGGCCCGCAAGGAACTTCATCGGGTAATTAAATCCCCAAAACATTTGTGGTTTGAGTTAGAATTGTTGCAAACATATTTAAAAACATTTAAAATGTTCTTAACTCTCTGTACAAGTACATTACACTGTGTTATTGAGCCAAATATGGTTGAACTAAATTGTTGTGTGTCAACGCAATAAATCCAATCATCTAAAATGTTATACACGGTAGTAATTAAAGCATTCTTCATTTTTTATTATAGGTCATAAAGTTTGAGGGTCTCAGAGGAGTTCCTCTCGTGGTCCTGGCCAACAAACAGGACCTCCAGGCAGCTGTAAGCCCAGAAGCACTTTGCGTGACGCTGGACCTGAGAAGAGTGTGCGAGGGCCGCGCCTGGTTCATCCAGCCCTGCTCAGCTACCACCGGCGTGGGACTAGAGGAAGGTTTCAGGAGGATTGTCTATCTGATGAAGACTCCATTTAAACAGACTCAAGAGGACTTTAAGATTAAGATGAAGTCCAAGGGCCTCAGTATCACAGCTGTGAAACAGGCTTTGCTCTGCAGCAGATGATGGAGGACAACCGGTTTTGAAGATTTATTCAAGTGGAATGATTCCTCTTGCCCCGCCTGTGTAAATCCTCAGGAAATCGCCTCAGCGTGGTTTTCCGAAGGATTAACTGCGAGGAGGTGATAAAAGAACCACATCTCTGTGGTAAAAAGCCCTTTTACTCATTCGTGGGGAAGACAAAGTGTCCTTGGACCATCGTGATAACCACTGAGGAGGCTGTGTGTTATCTCAGGTTATAACAGCTGGTGTGTTACAAGCTGGTATGAACCGTTCGCAAACAATTCAGTCTGAGTGTTTTTATGACAGAAACTGGCTGATAAAAACCTGCATTGTTCAGTCAAGATTCTGTGGCTCAAAGAAATGTTGTTCTCGACTTTTGCATTATCGGTTCTTTTTTAGCAGTAATACATTCGTTTGAATAAAATGTACAAGGCCTGCTTATACTGTTTGTTTCGTTTATTGATTGCAATAAAAACACATAAAAACAAAAATAAGGAGCTGTAAACTTTTTGAATCAATATCAGTAATTGATTTGATATTAATTGATTTGAATATATATGTGTATTGATGTATCTATTCTTACTTATTGATATTTTAAGTGATCTTATTCTGTTGCGTCGCATCAAGTGGCAATCCAGCCTTGTATATAGACTATATTGATAAGTAAAAAAGTGCATCATATTATGTTTACCTGTTTTTTTACATGCAATTCTTAACTGGGACACTAGTGAGAACAGATACGGATACAGATATCTACGTGTATGTATGTGTTTATGTAACAGTGGATACTTGTCGCTGAGTACGATGATCAGCTCGTGCCTCGTTATGTGGCTGCAGAGGGACGTCGCAGCCAATGAGAGTGGAGGGGATTTCCCCACCCTTCCTCTACGCCACAGCGAGGCTGCCCTCCACCACCGGCAATCCCGGCATGCACCGCGGACAGAGCAGCAGAAAATAGTCCGTTAACGAAAGCCTGAGAAAGGGGAACCAGAAGCGGGTAGCTCGCCAGCTAAATCCACGATTAAGACTGTATTTATCGTAACCACAACCGCTAACATGGCTGACAACGAGAAACTGGACAACCAGCGGCTGAAGAATTTCAAGAATAAGGGCCGCGATTTGGAGGTAAAAGTTGTCTCAATTGGTGTCGAGGATTCCGTTTTTCCTCGTTCGCCGCCGCTCTGTTAACGGCCAGCTTCGCCTCCTGGCTTCCGTGTGACGTCGTTTCTAATTTCCACCATCGGGAACTTTTTGCCTAAAGCCCGCGACGGGGCCTTCGCACACCACCAGTTATATACAGCCCGCATTAATTGTGATATTTGTGTTTTAGTTTCACCGGTTTTGGTTTGTCACGAGCCCGCGTTGGTTATACAACGGCTCGTAAATGCTAGTCAGAGTTCACCGCCTCCGCTGATGCTGCTTTGCTAGCTTGATGCTAGCCAGGCCCACGGTGGACGTGCTAGCGCAAATGAAGCATATCGTTGCATCGGCTCGGGTCGATGTGTTGGCCTGGGGAAATAACGACTAACTCCACGTTTCCAAAAGTACACATGACGGCGTTTTGCTTTCGTGTTGCACGTGTGGAGTGTTTGCCCAGCTAACACGGCGACAGATTAGCGGTATTTTGATACTGCGGTTAGCTAACCTGCGTGCTAGCCGCCGCTAAGCTCGGTGGCTGGGCTTGGTGGTGCTGGTGGCTGCAGTTCCACCCATCCCCCGTCTTTATCACCAAAAACAATGGCGGAAACCAGTTAGCCTCCTAGCCGGCCAGTTACCTGGATCTCTGAAATCACGGCTTACTATTACTATTTTATCCCATGGCTCAAAGACGACGTCACACGCGTAGAAAACAAGGTTAATGCGACCTGGTCACTAACTCGACTGACATGTAACGTTTAGTTACATTTACACGTTAGCTTACGATGGATCCATCAGTTACATGGTGATTTACAGTCAGCCCCGCATGCCACTGCTCTTAATGTTAGCGGGGTATGCGGTTTTCAGGCGGACTCTGGAGGTCTGGATTACATACTCGTACATCCTGTTTGACGTGTAGTTTCTGTTACAAGCTAACGCTAGGCCTTAAAGACCCCGAGTTGTGTCACCTAGCCCCCGTGTCCCCGTGGTGGTCTGTCAGGGATGAGTACAAGCTCAATAGACTCGCATATACTAATAGCACGTGTCTGCTTATAGCACGAGTTACATAACGAACCGTTTAATCAGTTTTCAGGTACACCCGTCTAAAACGGATGCAGTCTAATAGTGTTACTGCAATAAATCAAGCATTCACAAGTGGTATTGTGCTACATTATAACTTGTATTCTACTGTTGTGGTCATGTTATCATTTTGGAGGCTGTATGCTTGATGTATTGTTTCATTATACAACTGGACAGAAACTGTCTATAATAAATACTGAAGACCAGAATTGGCACCTCACTAAAACGACATTATAACCTTCCTGCAGGGCTGCTGCAGTTTCTTGTTAGCTAAGAAAATGGCTACTGATACTGGATGAATACAAATAACTTATGTAAATTAAAGGGTCTTTTTTACATTAGGTCAGTCCCTTGGACTTTTGCTTGTTGCTTAAAGTTACATGTCATATAATGTCAATGTGCTTACTTTCCCACAGACTATGAGAAGACAGAGGACGGAGGTAGTGGTGGAACTCAGAAAGGTAAATATATTTGTATTATATTGTGCTAAGTACAACTAAGACTTTTGCACCTCCGTTATTAGATTCTAACCTTTATGAATATAATCTACCGAAAGATGCAGAAGTTTCCTTTTTCTCAAGGATTTGCTGGAATGTGCAGTGATATTTATGTTCCCTCCCTCCACCACAGAACAAAAGAGATGAGCACCTTCTGAAGAGAAGAAATGTGCCCCATGAGGACATCGGCGAGGACTCAGAAGTTGATGGAGATTACAGATCGGTATGCTCAAAAATCTTATATATATATATATATATATATATATAAAAAAGTTTATACTGGAGTTTTAATGGCCACTGATTGCCTTGTTCCTGTAAGGAATCACTGAACGCTGGGAGCAACACTGTGGCATGCATTCTTTACCAAGGGGTCTTGCACATTGGGTTAATCTTCCTAGTTTAACATTGTTGAAGTTGAGGGTGAACTGCCTTGTTGCTTTGATGCTGCCTCCTTGACTTTGCTTGCTCATTGTCAGTTGGGTGGGGCAGGAATGTGGAAGAAAAAAACACATTTGGTTAGTCTTTCTGTGTTTGGTGACTCCTTTTCTTAGATTATGAGACCCTTTTTCAGTACATCTACTCCTTGCTTGGTAGAATAGGTCAAATGCACCGTGTATAACTTTTCCTCATCAGACTTATGTTCCGTGTTAAATATTTGCTGTGTATTTGGTCCACAATGCCAGAAATGTTTGAAATGGATTCCTGTTATGCAGCGTTTTGTGTTGGCATAATGAAGGGCCTGCATATGTAATCTCTGCAATAACACACCCGTTTTTTGATGATGAAATAATGCAGGTATAAAGTAGGTACCAGAAATGAAAATAATTAATATCACAATACGTTCTAGTTCTGTTTATGGCCGTAGTTGCAATACAAATTGTATCCCTTAAATTCTGACATATTTTAAGGCCCTTTCACTTTTATGTTAGTGCTGAGTTTAGCATAACTGTGAACCTGAAGAGATTATATATATATGCTTGTTTAGTCGCAAATTATAAAAAATGAATCTAAACACATTTGTTTACAGTTTAATAGAAAATATATATCCCTCAGTGGGAGATGGATTCTAGGTTCTCCTTGATTCTAAATTAATGTGAAGGCAGGGCAGCGCTCATTGCGCCTCATAATGGCGTTTCAATGGGTTCTAAGCATATGAGACACACTGGTTTAGTGCTCCAGTGGGAAGTATTAACAAAAACGAGTCTGTCCATTCTGGATTAAATGCTCTTTCGCTGTCCACTTATCTCCTTTAGGAGAGGGCCATTAATTCCTTTTTTTCCCTTCTCACTTGCTTTCTCCTTCTCAAATTTCACTAGCTTTCTTTTTCTTTCTGCTGTCTTTTTATTTGTAATCTCTCGTCTGCCTGCGTATTGAGACGATATCATCCTGCTAGGAGTGGAAAGACTTGATTGGTCGAGCGGTACCACGTGGGATGGCTTAACTCGAATGCAATTGGTCTTTCCTTTAAAGCCATTAGCCTAAAGACTATCAAAGCTGCACGGTCAAAAAGTGCCCCATCGGGTTAAATCACAAGCGTCTGTTTTAGCTTGAGGTCTGGGTCCGGATGGGGCGGCTTCTGCTTCCGGATCTGGACCGCTGTCCGCCAGTTAGTGACCTGTGATCTAGGGGATACGAGTCTAGGAAGATCATCACTTTCCTGCTTTTCTTCCTCCCCTTTTGTATATGGGGTTGTGTTTGCAACAGCATCTGTTGAAAGTCTACCGCCTCCGTTTTTATTTGAGGGGTCACAAGCAATCCCCTGCAGCTGCTGGCTCATCGGAGGCATTGGCCAGCTTTAAATGATTGGCTTTACAGTCAGTGTTTGATTGAAAGTTAAAAATATTGCTCCCGACACTACAGTCTACACTTGGCCATTAACTCTGTGTTGGGGACATCCATGTCAACTCAAGGCTGATTTTAAAGAAATCAATTTCAGGAAAAAACAAAACGCCTGCTCGCCCACATTTGGAGGATTATTTGTTTCTAACGATTGGTGTAAACATTTTCCTGTTACTGGTGACCTTTTTAAAGTACAAATGTATGTACCGGTGTGTATGTGTGTGTGTCAAATCAAGATTATTAACTGACTGTCCATGTTTCTTTTTCAGCAAAACACTTCTCTTGAAGCAATAGTACAAGTAAGATGTTTCTGTTATTTATTTCACTCTTGTAAACCGTGTGTTTTATGCATCAGGATTAAACGTATGTCCTTTTATTCTCTAGAATGCCACCAGTGATAATCAAGGTGTCCAGCTGAGTGCTGTTCAAGCTGCCAGGTAGGAACACACATCCTCATATTCTTGGACTCTGCTGATTATCACTTCAGTTCATACCAGCCGCGGGCAAACTACATTTTCTCTACAAATAAAACAATATTGAGGCTGCTCAAAATGGTAGCAGAAGTAAAACGGCTTCACATTTGGCATTTGTGATTAAGAGAGACTGCATCTGTACTCCAATACTTGGCCTTAAAAGGTTCACTGGTTTAATATTGACCGACTGGCAAAATGCAGTGTTGAAATATCAGAGCCTGGATTGATTAATGGCACTGCAGCGCCGTAGCATGAGGGAGCTGAAACCATGAAACACATTTCTCTTATTTTTTTTGTTTTCTCTCGTTCCTTTCCCCCATTTTTGTCTACTCTACATTGTGACCATTCCAGCAGCACTGACGTTGTGTGATGTTGATGTTGGGTCATGGGGAGGGTGAAGTTTCCTGCCGGTGCCGCAGATGGAACTTTGGTTGACTTACGCTGTGACGAAGCTACACATTCTTCGGCTGTTTG